GTATCGACTTGATGGCACCTAACAACAACAACATTGTATCTATTCCTTAAATAGTGTGTATATATTTTACTTCAGCTATTTTAAGCATTTATGAATATACTTTGCTTATTCATTCACTCTCCCTACTGCAACACTGAAATGTAACAAATGTATTAACAAGATTCCACTGAGGTCCAAACTTAATTGTATTAATTCTGGGATACTACTTTGATGACTTACTTCATGAAATTCTGGTCCCAGGTAATAAGTAATCCTTTCAAACAATTAAATATACCATAAGAAGCCAGAATCAAATGTAAACATGAAGCAAACAGCTCCTTCTTATAACTTCTTTAAAATATTTGCTCACAAATCTTTTTTTTTTTTAACAGCAACACCACCCTTCAATTAATCTTGCATATGTGTTCCATTTTAAAATAAGAAACAAAGATGGTTCTGCCAGAAGGAAGAATTATGACTTTTCCAGATTCCACCTAAGCTGGCAAAGTATTTTTTTTAAATATGTGCAACTGACAGAAAATGAACACGGAAGAGAAATCATCTTCTCAAAAGTGTCCCAACCTACTCAACTCTCAAGAGCCTCTTGGAAGCCTTTAGTGATTATGCCTAATTTGTATCCCTGAACATTCGTACTGTAGTTATAGTAACTTTTACTTGTTATACCTACTGGTTTACATGTTTCCTACTATACTACAAGCCCCTGAAAGACAGGGCTTGTTTTTGTGTTTATCCTTGCACTTCAAGCTTAGCACCATGCTTGGAGCATTTTGATCATAAGTATCCTCTAAATTTATCAGTGAATGGGCAGAAAATGTTAATGCATTTGTTTAAATCATATTCCTATTAAACAGTAAGATCTGTAGATCTGTAACTTGGATTAAGTGTTAACTGGATAAGTATGGTACCCACCATCCATCAGTTTGTCATACTTTGGTGACTTGTAGTGTTGCTATGATGCTGGAAGCTACGTCACTGGTATTTCAAATACCAGCAGGGCCACCCATGGTACACGGCAGACCTCTAGACTAAGACAGATTAGGAAAAAAACCTGCAATTTACTTGCAAAAACCAAATAATAAAAACCTTATGGATCTCAGCTATGTCATAAGGAAGGCTCAGTTGCTGGCAAAGGACATCGTGTTTGGTGGAGCAGAGGACGAGCAAAGGTGAGGGAGACCCCTGGCTAAGACAGACTGGCACAATAGCCACAACAATAGACTTGAACATGCCAGTGATTTTGAGAATGATGCAGGGCTGCAACATTTTATCTGGATGTATGTAAGGTTGGCATGACTTGAGGTAGACTTGATGACAACTAGTAAATTTTAAATTGTATTATACAATGGAAGAAACATTATTACCACCAAACAACCCAAAACGAGTCAAGGTCTAAGTTCTGAATACCCTAAAATCAGTACATCCTAAAATACCGAAGAGCTTTCTTTCTCTACTTTTCTCTTCTTCACTGAATTTAAATATCATAGAACTAGGCGAATCACAATAAAGAAACTCTCATTATCCACCCATGGATGCATGGCTTGCTCTTATTATAATTCTACATGAAGAAGGCTTGATAAGAAGAAACACTTTATTACTAAGCAGATTCATTATCATAAAATGAAATCATCCTCTTTGAGACCTAAAGGATATGGCGAGTATACACAGAAAGGGAAATATGAGAGGTGATGTGCTTTGATATCTACAAAACCAACAACATTACTATGAAAGGCATTTGCTTCATGTATAATATTCATGTTGTTGTTTTTAGTGCCATTGAGTCAATTCGGACCCATAGCACCCTGTATAGGGTTTCCAAAGAACAGCTGGTGAGCTCTGACCGCCAACCTTGCAGTTCAAACCACTTTGTAGTCTAGCGCATTAACCCACAGTGCTACACCAGGACTCCATAACATTGATAATGTCTTTTAAGAGATTGTAAAAGACATTTTCTAAATCAGGTTGACAGTTTAGTATTTCCTTTTCACAGCTTAGTATTTCCATTCATTCTCATAGACTCCATTACCAAAATACCACATGCTGGAGTGTATAAACCTGAATATCCTTCACAATTCACTACTATGAAAGGCTTAAAGGATGACTAGGCCTGTATCATCTGTATCCCTGCTAGGGAATGTTTGAAGTTAATGTCTAGAAAGTAATTTTAAAACACATCAGGTAAAAAGAAACACATTTAATAAAGTAGCAACTGGGATTGTACAATTCTCTTAAATTTCTTAGTTTTCCAAAAAGGCTATCTTTAATTATCACTACCCTCCACAACCAGAACAGCTCTTTATTGCCAACGCTGCTCCCACTTTATAATTCTATCACACAACCTACCTCTTCTACTCCAAGCACAGTCATTGCTTAAAGAACTCTAAAAACACTGTTTAACTTACTAGTTACTCTATACCCCCTAAAAATCCTTATTATTCTGTCAAAATGCCTACAACCTTTACCCAGTAAAATGTGGAAACTGAGTTGCACCCTTTAAACTCTCCACCTGTTGCAGAGCCACAGAAATCCTCACCTACCCCCTTATTTGAGCAGTGAAGAAATCTGCACTTACCTAGAATATCCCATTCTCCACACACATGCCTCGTTTTTCCAGATACAAACTTATTTTCTTCTCAAAGAACCTCCACAATCAGACCTGACAACCCTTCCAAATACTGTCCCTTAAACCTTCCTCTTGAATCTCCCCAGCAATTTCCAGATTGCATTACAGTGCTTCACTTCTCTGCTACTTTTGCACTTATTTTCTCTGCAGGGGCTCTTCCACGTCTTAGATTTCTTACAAAATAGCAAAATGAACCCCCAGCATAAACATCACCTCCTCGCTGAAGACTTTCCAGACCACAGATCATTCCATCCAGGCATACCCAGGAGGGGCAGAATCTTACTCAGGATGCATCCACAATAATACATTGGACAAAAATAGACGCTACTCAAAAGGTAATGTCGGAGTCAAGTCTTCCTGCATTTGTCCATGTAAGCTCCAATCTCTGAAAGATGCCAACACCTGGAATTTCCAGTTCCAAGAGTCTGGTGGAAATGGCTTCTCTCCTCTCCATTCCCTGAGCCCTGGGACGGTACAAGTGAGCTGGGCCACAGGTGACATACTGTTCTGCCGGTTGGGGGTTAGAGATCAATAAACTTTTTCATGGTCAACAACGTAAAGGAACGTTCTTTAGTCCAAAAGAGACTGAAATACACAAACAGGAAGGGAAGAGGAGAAAGGCAAGGAACTGGGTCACAGGAAGAAGATAAAGAAAAAGTGGCAGAGGCGCGGCGAGGGGCTGGAGAGCCAAGCGCGCGGTGGCGAGGGGCGATGAGAAACGTGGAGGAGGCCGGGGCCAGACTCCCCGGGGGCAGCCTAAGGACGAGAGCCGGAGGCAAAGGACAACCGCGGCAAAAGGGGCGAGAAGAGGAAGCGCAGGGAGAGAGGGACCCCAGAGTTGGACTAGGCGATCATCGGCAGCTGGACCGGGTCAAAACCTCCCGCTCCCTCCACGGCGAGGCCTAAAGCTGCGGCCTCATGTCCTGCTGTGTCCAGGGAAGGCGCTCCTGTCCCAGCTTCCCCGCCAGGCCGCCGTCGTGGCGGCGAAAGGGGTTACTTACCCGGTCCGCCCGGCCGACTTTCCCCATGGGCCGGAGCGGCGGCAGCGCGGAGCCTGGGGCCGAGGCGCGCAAGCTCCGTACCGAGCCCGGAAGCGCCGCGGAAAAGAGAGGTTTGGACGCACTCTGCGTAAACCTACCGACGATCGTAGTTTACGGCTGGCGCCAAGCCCTACGCCAAATTCGCAAGAGACTCCGCGGCGCGGGGGTCAGGGAGCGTGTGCTGCCGGGAGAGAGGGACCGCCTGCGCCGCGGGCGCCTCTTCCACAGTGCCCCCTGATGGTGGGAGGTCCACACTGCATGAATCCCCTACGTCTGCTCCCTTGGCGGCTCCGTCTTTGAAATGTCATAACATTTGGAGAGAGGGTGATAGTAACTTCGGGGGAGAGGGAGAGACCGTTTCTCCTGGTCCTTCGTTTTAATTCTTTGAAAAACGTTCATTTATATGTAAAAAGTGGAAAATACCATGAGCAAGATGAACCGGGAAACTGCTTAAAAAAACAAACTAGCAGTGAGCATTGAATTGATTGAATTGTAAAACTAAGAAAACAATGGATATAGAAATTAGGATTACAGCAATGAATGTTGTTGTTGTTGTAAGATCATGACTCATAGTGACCCTGTATAGGGTTTCCAATGAGCAGCTGGTGAGTCTGAACCGCTGACCTTGCATTTCAAACCGACCTTTTTTGTCCAGTGCATTATGTCATAAACCTTACAAATTAAAGCCTAACAAAAGTTGGGAGGCGAAGTGAAAGTGGGGCTTTGTGTATAATTATGATGGCTTTGACATCTGAAATTGGGAGTCAAAAATATTTCATGCTGATAGAGATATAGCGTTTCACATTCAGTGGGATGGCCATTTGAATTGTAATGTTGGCAAAAAATATTGAAAGTACCATGGACTGCCAGAACAAAAAATAAATCTGTCTTGGAAGAAGTACATTCAGAATGCTCCTTAGAAGTGAAGATGGCAAGACTTTGTGTCTCTTTCTTGGGACATGTTGTCTTGAGAGGTGAGACCCTGAAGAAGGAAGGACATGATGCTTAATAAAGTGGAGACTAGTGAAACCCCAAGACTATGGCCCTTACTCATCCCCGTGATTCAATTTTCAGCCAAAAAATAGGTACATAGGGAGATAGCACTAGTAAGGTTACACACATCATAGAAACAAAAAAGGGTAGTATTTATCCAAAGATAAAATTCAGAAGAGTGGGGAAAGAAGGAATGGGAACAGGAAATGAATGCAGGGAGGAAGATAAGTAATGTTACACTGAGAGGATCACTGAGATGAAATACATTGTATGATTAATTTCACTCAATTCACAATAAAAACATAATATATAAAAAAAACCCAAATAGTGTATGTTCTCACTTCCATTAAATGACATGAACAAATAAATATACAGAGATAAATGTTGATGAGTGGTTATCAAGGATGTGGGTGAAAAGGGGAATTCATTCTTTTGTTTTTCTTAAGTGCCATTGACTCATAGCAACCCCTGTATAGAGTCCATATACTGCAGTGCCACACCAAGCCTCTCTGGTGGTAGTGGTGGTGGTTACATGCCATGGAGTTGGTCTGACTCCTAGTGACCCTGTATAGGAGCAGAAAGCCTCAGATTTCTCCTGAGGAGCAGCTGGTCGGTTTGAACTGCTAACAGTCCAGTATTTATCCTACAGCATCACTAATAGTAGACATTGTATTTTTGATGATGGGAAAGGTATCACCAAATGAGGTTAAACTATACACAGCTTGATGAAGGTAAATGATATCACTTTACACGGGAAAAGGAGCTGTTCATAATTGCTATGGCCTATATCCTTTTGATATAACAGTAAAAATAACCTAAAACTGGCAGACACCCGCGGAGTCACTCCAGCTTCAGGACGCTCTGTGAGGTGGAGACTGCTCTCAGACAAACAATGACCTGCCTACTCATCAATGACCCCTTCCAAGGAAGACAATGAATGAGGTGAAAGAACTTCTTCGAAATGTCGAACAGACATACACAACAACAGCAGTTCACATTCATTGCTGCTCTGGAGCATGTCATAAACCTTACAAAACACCCAAGACAAGATCCGGCCCATCATCAGCGTAGGACAGGTGCAGAGCTGCAACACCACCACAAACAGGCGGATTCTGCTCATGTTCCTGGACATATGTACAGAGCTGAGCAAGCTCTGTCAGTGCTTTGAAGCCCTGCACTCTGGCACCCCAGTCACCAACAGCCTCCTAGAAAAATGCAAAACTCTTGTTAGCCAAAGCAGCGACTTAAGCAGTCTCAGAGCCAAATATCCGCATGATGTGGTGAACCACCTCAGCTGTGAAGAGGCCAGAAACTACTACGGAGGTGTGGTCAGTCTTAGCCCCATTGTTTTAGACTTAATGAAAGAATGGATCGCCCACTCAGAGAAGCTGCCTCAAAAAGTGCTGCAGCAAGTGAGTGAACCCCAGGCAAGCGACGAATGCACCATGGGAACCACCAGTCCTCACCAAGCCACAGGCACCCAGACCCCGTTAAAAACAAACACGTGTAGGCAACTTCCAAAAACCAACTTCAAATCTAGTGCAAAAGATAAAGGATGTTTAAAACCTCCCTGGAGACCGCCTGGTGAGAAACTGTAAATCAAAGTGGCCTATTGGGTATGGTAGGGAGACTTTGTTCTTTAATTTGGTTTCCACTTGGCTGATACATTTTCATCAGTACTACAGTCCTTGCCACATAGTAACCCCTATGTTGTTGTTAAGTGCTGTCGAGTCGATCCCAACCCATAGCGACCCTGTATAGGGTTTCCAAGAAGCAGCTCGTGAGATTGAACCACTGACCTTGCAGTTCAAATGATTTTGCAGTCTGATGCATTAGCCCACAGCGCCACATCAGGACTCCAGTAACCCCTACAGAGACTAGCAAATATATTGAGACTCTCTCTTTCTCTCTTGCCTTAACTTGCTTCTAACTTTTCATCATCTTCTCTTAAGAGTCAGGTTCTGTGCTGATGGAATGGCAACCCCACTTACACAAGTTGTCAGGACAGTTGATAGGGGTGTCCCAGAGGAAGGCCAGCATGGACCTTCTACCAGGACTGCCCTGGTGGTAGGCTCTAGCTGTTCAGCTCAAGTGGTCAGGCAGGGGAAGACTGCACAGCTGCTGAATCTCCTACCAGACCACCACTTTGGCAAAATGGGTGCTCCCACCTCACAGGATTATTTTAAAGATTGGCCATGCTGAAACTTCTGAAGTGTGTTTGGGTCTCTGGACCAATGTCACACAGGGATCAAACCCACCTTTCCCTCTCCTTTAGTTGGGAAGGGACACATAGAAGAGAAGTGGGAAGAATTCTGAGTTTGTGGCTCTTGTATGAGGATTATCTGGTTATCATGACATAACCAAGACCCAGACATTGTAAAAATGTGTCACTAGCTACAGAGCCTGCCCGAGATACTGTCTGACTGTTGGCTTTTCCCTTCTTCACAGGGGACGACTTAGCTTCTTTATTCTTGCTTCCTCAGGGGGAGACAATCAAGAATAAAAATTGTTTCTACCACAAAAAACAACAACAACAAAAACCTAACACTGTATATCCAGGTATATAGCTATGTAGTGGTGGTGGTGGTAGTTGTGTGCCCAGAGTCCGAGGCTGTAAATCTTTACAGGAGCAGACGGCCTCATCTTTCTCCCGTGGAGCAGCTGGTAGATTCAAACTGCTGACTTGCTGTTAGCAGCCCAATGAGTAATTCACTATGCCACCAGGTTTCATTATATAATGTATGTAGGCATATATCCGTTGGGTAGGTTCCGACCCACAGTGACACAGTATAGGGTTTCCAAGGAGCAACTGGTGAGCTTGAACCTTTGGATCAAACTAACTGTTCAGCCCAGCACATTAACTCAGCACCACACTAGGACTCTGTCTCTCAATCTCTCTCACATATCTAGATCTAGATCTAGATCTAGAAATGTGTGTGTGCTGTTAAGATAGGCCCTGCACTGCTAACCTCAAGATCGGCAGTTGAAATCCATCAGAAACCCTATACAGCATTACTATGAGTCAGAACTGACTCAAAAACACTTAACAACAACAACATACACAGGTATATGTGTATGCATTTATGTTACTGCATGCACATATATTCATTTATAAAATAAAACACAGACACTTCTTAGACATAAGCAAACACCTCAAAAACTTGGAGATCTGGATTTGAAGATTTAGGACTATATAATCTTGTAGGCCATCTTGGTCAATTGGCATAATAGAGGTCATACTTATATTCTACATATTTAGTTTGGTGAGTAATGTCTGGGGTCTTAAAAACTTGTGAGTGGTCATTTATACAATTATATACATGAAGGGGCTTAAAAAACTTCATGATTAAATGGAATTAAAAGATTATTTAATTTTCCCATGTACTTTTTAAAGCCCTCTGTACTACTGTTGGTCTTTAGTTGTCTGGAGCAAAAGACAAAGCAAAGACTCAAAGAAGAAATTAGTCTACAGGACAAATTGTCTACCTGAACTATGGTCTCATCTACCTTCAGAACAGAAGAGCTAGATAGTGCCCTGCCAGTCTTATAGGGATCACAATAGAGACCTGATTGGGTGGGAGGAAAATGTGGAGCAGTACCTTAAATTTCTAAAACACAAAACAAAACAACTCTTCAAACCTTGAACTGAAATTAGCTACTGACGTCACCTTATAGCTGCTAAATAACAAATAATCCCAAATATCACCAATAAGTACTGTTTTACTTCAAAAAATCATTTTATGAGACCAAGTAGTTAACAATTATTTGTTATGTTAACAATGAGAATGGTATGTGATCAAAGATAAGACTATAAGAGGAGAGGGAAACTACGCAAATAGAAACAGAACAATCATAATAGAAATACTGAGAATGTGTATGCATTGTTAAGAATGTAACCAGTGTCACTGGACAAGTTGTGTAGAAATTGTTGAATGAGAGCTTAAACTTCTGTGTAAATCTCCACTGAAAGCCCAATAAAACATTGTTTAAAATATTTCAAGCAAATAAATAAAATAATAGAGATTTA